GAGGCAGCCCTGTTTTATAGATGAGTAAACTGAGGCACAGAAAGGTTAAGTAATTTGCCCACAGTTACATAACTAGTAAGCCATAGAAGTGGGTCATAGACCTAGGCTTTCTGTTAGCTACTGAGTTATACTGCCTTGAATATTACTGCTGTCTAGAATAATTTCCCTTCTGTTCACTCAAACCCAGAGAGAATTCTAGGATGGGTGAGGATGGAGCAATAGCTGAATACAGGGTGATAAAATTCCAAGGGTGAGAAAGTATTCCTACCCTAAAGGTAGTGACCAGCCAGGACATTCATCTGGGTTGCCCCTGATTATTTCCTGCCTCCACCTTCTAACATTTTTATCCCCTGGAAAGCTGCCTTAGTCAATGAGGACACAGAGAAGGTTCCACCTGGTGGAGCAGCAGGGAGAGGAATGGAGAGATAGAAACATCAATGATGAGAGAGAACCATTGATCAGCTGCCTCCTGCATGCCCCTACTGGGGATTGAGCCTGCAACCCAGGCATGTGCCTGGACTGGATATTGAACTGGTGACCTTTTGGTTCATGGATCAACGCTCAACCACTGAGCAACACCAGTCGGGCTGACCTGGCGAGTTTTGAAGGGTCTGGATCACCACTGTGTTTTATTTTGTTTTGTTTTGTTTTGTTTTTCTACATGTGCTTTCCTCCCTCAAGCTCCCTCCCTCCTCCACTTCGATTTGGAATATAGTAAATCTGAGTTGCAGTACTGAGTCTGCCAATTGCAGTGTCACCTTGGTCAAGTCACTTAACCTCTCTGAACCGCCTTCCTCAACTGGCAAATGAGGGAGTGACAGAAGATTCCTAAGGCCCTTCCAGCTTTCTCAGTCTCCTCTCTCAAGCACCAGGCTCCTGTCCCACAGTCTTTTCTCAGAAGCAGCTATTGCAGGGTAAGGATCAGAGAGACCTAGCGTTGGGACCCAAGTTTCCACTGGGACTGGCTGTGTGAACTTGGGTGAGTTACTTAATCTCTATGAGTTTCTACTTTCTCCTCTATAGAAAGAAGATCCTGAAATTTAACCCATGAAATGAGCTTAAATGAGATCATGACTCTAAAGCATTTAATGCCTGACATCTAGTATGTGCTAAGTAAATATTGACTGTTACTGTTATTATTATTAGCTGTTATTATAGGTAACACTTATTGTCTGCTTTCTCTGTGCCAAGCATTGTGTCAAGGGTCTTCAGATGTACTATCTCATTTAATCCTCATAACAGTGTCATGAGGCAGCCCTGTTTTATAGATGAGTAAACTGAGGCACAGAAAGGTTAAGTAATTTGCCCACAGTTACATAACTAGTAAGCCATAGAAGTGGGTCATAGACCTAGGCTTTCTGTTAGCTACTGAGTTATACTGCCACTTGAGTGTTACTGCTGTCTAGAATAATTTCCCTTCTGTTCACTCAAACCCAGAGAGAATTCTAGGATGGGTGAGGATGGAGCAATAGCTGAATACAGGGTGATAAAATTCCAAGGGTGAGAAAGTATTCCTACCCTAAAGGTAGTGACCAGCCAGGACATTCATCTGGGTTGCCCCTGATTATTTCCTGCCTCCACCTTCTAACATTTTTATCCCCTGGAAAGCTGCCTTAGTCAATGAGGACACAGAGAAGGTTCCACCTGGTGGAGCAGCCAGGGGTGTCCCTGTTTGTTTGCCACCAGTGTGATTTCTGGGTTTCTGGGGATGTGTGAACATGCAGGACAAGAGATGGTGACTTCGTATGCATGACGGAACTGCAGCATCATGCCTTCTTCCATGTCTGTCTCTGTGGAGAGACAGTGTAACCAGCCTTGCTAGGTGCCTATCCCACCTCAGCCACCCACTGGTTGTGTGACCCCAGATAAATGACTCACCTCTCTGTGCCTCAGTGTCCTCATATATATAAAAATGGATATAATGACAATAGTACTGACTGGATAGGGATGCTCTGAAGATTGAATAAGCTTATCCACAAAAGTGATTAAAACAGTGCTAGGCACTGAGATGGGGCAAATACATACAGCTTATATGTGTCAGATATTAAATGTGAAAGGGTGGGTGCACAGTAGAAGGGGTGCACAATAGAAGGGATCTCGGGCTGGTGGAATGGATTGTCTGATTTGTGGGAGGAGGATGTGCTTGTGTGATGTGTGCACAGTTGCGTGTGCATTCTATAAATGTCTTGAGGATATTCACTGTCAGAACCCCAGTTACCACACAAACAAGCTCTAGGCCCTATGGCAAGTCACTGAGGCTCTGTGTGCCTCAGTATCCTCATCTGTACAGTGGGTGTGGTTACTACCTCAAACTTAGCTGTGAGAGATGGATGTGAAGCTCTGAACCAATGCAGGTGCCAGTTACATGGGAGACGTTCATGTTAAGCATTCTGAGAGAGTGGACACGATTGTTGACACTCCTGGGGTCCTAAGTGCCAAGGCTGTGTCCTCCTCCCTTGGGCTGCAGAGCTCCCCCTGGTGTACCACGGATCCCAGCTGCTGTAGGCAGAAGAGCCCTAGTCCAGTTTCTCCAATGGGGCATCTGAGGCCCAGAGAAGGATAGGGACTTGCCCTGGGATACCCAGCATACTGAATATACCCAGAGATGGGGCTAGATGGGAGCCAGTCTCTCTTCTTCTTCTGGGGTGATCTTGCTCATTTCTTTTCTGTTTCTCGTTTTTCTTTCTCTCTGCAGAGGTCAGTGTTGGCAGCTCCCATCACTCACTGCTCTGCCTGCCCCACCTCCCCCAGCATCCAGCCTGGGCTGGGGGAAGCTGCTCCAGAAGGAAGGTGTGTGGCAGCAGGCACTGTCTGGGCCATGGAGGCTGGAGCTGGGTGGCTGCCTAGAGTGAGAATCCCATGTGTCTGGGGAGGACCCCGCCTGGGTAGTTCAGTCCCAGCTTCCAGCCCTGCATCACCACCTGGTTCTGCCTGAGGATTCTCAGAGGTCACTGGAGGAGGAGGCTGAAGACTCACAAATACTTCAAATTTTTTTTTTATGTAACATCTTTCTTGTAAGTCTGTCCCCCTCCCAGCTTCCAGCCCTGCATCACCACCTGGTTCTGCCTGGGGATTCTCAGAGGTCACTGGAGGAGGAGGCTGAAGACCCACAAATACTTCAAATTTTTTTTTTTATGTAACATCTTTCTTGTAAGTCTATCCCCCTTTCATAACAAAAGTATTGTGTATTATTCATGGAGAATACAATTAGTCAGAGAGGAGGAAATGAAACTTTCTTAACTCAGAAGGACAACAGCAAAGGGGCTTTGGCAACACACACACACACACACAGTGTGCCAGGACCTGTCCGCCAGGACCTGTCCAGTTAACTTGTCTAGTCCTTGCAGCAATGCTCTAGGTAGGTCCCATTATGACAGCTGAGACACAAAATGGTTGAGTAACCTGCCCAAGGACACCCAGTTAGTGAGTGAAATGGGGATTTGAATGCTTAACTAATGAGGCTACACAGTGCTATGAGCAGCATCACAACGAATATGCCCTGAGGCTTTATTCCTATGCATCTATACAAAAGATGGCGTCCATTTTACATACTCACAGGGCCCTGTGGTCAGACTTGGACTTGAATCCTTGCACTGTTGCAGATAGGCTGGCGTGACTTTTGTTCCTTCACCTCTATGGGATGTGGTTTCTCTATCTGTAAAATGGAGAGCTATCATGTATGCTTCTGAGAGTTGGCTGAGCTTTCATATGAAGCACTCAGTCCAGGCCTGGTGCATAGTAGGTGCTCATGAGATGGGCCATGTTAACAGCCTGCTCTGAGGCCAGTGGGCTATGTAGGGAAAACAGTCAGAAAATACGCTGGATGCAAGGTGGCCTTGATATGTTGGGGTCTGGAGGCAGAGAAAAGCCTCTGGGTCTCCCAAAGGGGGTTGAGATTTCCTCCTGGAATCCCTGTCATTGCCACATCCCTACTCTGACCAGCAGCCTAGCCCCAGCCCTGCACACTCCAGATGGAAGTGGGAACAGCAGAGGCTGGAGAGGAAAGCCAGCAAATGGCCAGTGGGCGGAGCCTCCTGTTCAAGCCTGGCCTGGCTGGAAGGGGAGGGGGCTGTGGGACAGGGCGCGTCAGATGCCATCATCTCCCAGGGGACCTTTAAAGTCACTGCTGCCAGGCGGGCCAGGGTGTCAGCAGAAGTCCCCTGCCTCCTCTTCGGACTCCTCCTGCCACCCCCCTGGGCCGCCTGTCCTGGGTATGAGCTCCTGCTGCATGGTCTCTTGCACATCTCTCTCTAGCTCTCTTCTCAAGTCTATTTCTCTCTCCCTCTTCTCTGTTTTTTTTTCCTTTGTCTTTCTCTCTCTTTACCTTTCTTTCTATCTCCCCCCCACCTCCCTCCCCGCCCCCCCCCCCACACCCAATGTTCTTTCTTTTTCCTCCTATCATCAGCTCTCATTCTCTCTTGTATCTTTCCACCTTTCTATATCTTCCATTTAGTGTCTCTGTATTTTTTTTGGTCTTGCTCATTTCTGTTTCTTGTTTTTCTTTCTCTCTGCCTCTTTCATTCTCTACATCTGCTTCTTTCTGTGTCTTGCCCTCACTGCTGAAAGTGCAGCAGCTCAGGGACAAGAGAGCCCTCACTAAGCCTTGGGGAAGGTTGGCCCTGCCCCTCTGAGGGCATTGAAGGAGCCCACTTTAAGCAGGATGGGTGAAGAGGGCACCTAGGATGGGGAGGACAGATCTTTCTTCTGGGCTGGTGGGATAGAGCCCTGGCTTTCAAGTGGTGGCACCATCTCACCCCAAGTCTTGATCCAGGTTAACTACTGTCTGGGCATTTCTTCCTGTTGCCCAATCCACTCAGTCTGCTGGGGTGGGAAGGACAGGGTGTTGGGCCAGAGCTGAGTCAGCAGGTCTTCACCAAGCTCCCAGGGTTAGCATCCTCTGAGATGGCAATGCTGGAGAACACTCATGGTTTGGTGCCCTTATACCCACCCCCTCCAGGCAGCCAGCTCTGACTGCACAAGGCAGACGTGTGACCCCTTCAGCCAGCTATGCCCCCGCTGCCCAGCACTGTGGGCCTGGCAGTCCTGTTCTTCTGGGCAGGCCAGACAGTGAACACCTTGATGCCCAATGCCACCCTAATGCTGGCTTGGACCGAGGGCACAGCAGTGCACTCTCTAAGTGGCCTGGGGGTGCCCCACTACCGGCGGAAGCGCCACATCTCTGCCCGGGACATGAGTGCCTTACTGGATTATCACAACCACATCAGGGCCAGCGTGCACCCACCAGCTGCCAACATGGAGTATATGGTGAGTCCCTGTGCCCTCCCCAGTCCCCCTTCCAGCAAACACCACTTATCTCAACCTGTCTTGGAAGGGCTGGACCATTCACCAACCTGGCCCCACAAGCCAGTATCTGGGTGTCTGGACCATGTGGAAAGGGCAGGATGTAGTCTGTCCATTTTGTGGATGAGGGCACAAAGGGGATTACACAGGGCCTGCGGGGAGTCGGGCAGAGAACTGTTATTTATGGAGCACCTACTGTATGCCAGGCACTTCACATACCCTGAGGATACTCTTCCTTAGAGGTGGGAACTGTCATCTTCATTTTCCAAATAAAGAAATTGAGATGCAGAGAATTAATTTGCCCAAGGTCACCCAGCTGGGATTCCAACCCAAGTGTGCTTGCTGCAAAAGGCCATTGTCTTAGCCAACACAATACCCTGCCCAAGAGTTTTGGCTCCCCACTGGGGACCTGCAGAGGGTGGTAGCTGGAGCTTTCCATGCTATTGTCTCTTTGCCCCAGGGGTGTGATGGCCATCCCCAGACCATCCTCAACAAGCCTGTGGAGGTAGATTTTGGAGCTGTGGGGACTGGTACCTGGGGGTCTCCAGCTGAGAAAAACCAGCAGCTGACCGTGAGAGGAAGCTGGGATATCTGCTCTCAAAGAGACAGGGCTAGTGGCTCTGACCCCAGCTTCCCAGAGTGAAGGAGGACACTTTTCTCTTTATCACGGCCCCTCCTCTGGGACCATTGTCCCAAACCAGTCTGGAGACATAAGCTTCCAGCCCACCCACAGATTTCTTTAGGGAAAGAGATTGCCAGTCCCACCCCCAACTTGCTGCACAACAGCCTGCAAATTCTTTTGCAACAGTCCATGCACTTACTTACTAGTGCCTGTTTGGAGCCAGGCACCACGCTAAGCCTCATGGACACTACCCAGAACAGGATGGACAAATGCCCTTCCCTCCTGGAACTTTCATTTTAGTGAGGATGGTAGAAAGCGAACATCAACAAAATATATATAGAATATAATGACAGGTAGTGATAAGGTGTGAGGAGGGGTGGGGACAGAAGCAGAAATGGCAGGCAGCTAGAGGGGGAGAACATTTATTTGTTCATTGACTGACTCATTCATTTATTAACACATCAACTGGCACATAGAAGGCCCTCCATTTTCAAACAAATGACACATTTATTGAGCACCAGTTGTGTGTGCAAGGCACTCACTTCAGCAGGTGTTGAATATGGCAGGTAGTGTGTAGAGCAGAGAGAAAGAGATGTCTCACAAGGGACTCGGGAGGGTTGGTGAGTGTGGGTTTGAGTGACCCTCTGCCCTCCCTTCACTCAGTCACTCAACAAAGTCACCGAGCAGGTTGGTGGCAGAGCGATTTTCCTTCCCCCGCCTCGTGTCTTCCATCTTCTCTGCCTTCCCTCAGTTTACCTCTTGGTAGAACGAAGGAAACATTTCTCTGCTTTCCCAGAAGACTATGAGCTGGTGCCCCATTTCTTCTCCACTAGCTGGCTTCTGCCCACAGGACAGATATCCTTGCTCAAGGAGCCTTTTCTCTCCCACAGCCCCAAGCAAGTTCCAGCCCGTTTCACATCCTCACACTCTCCAGGATTGTAATGATGGTTTCATATCTCATTTCCTTGCTAGACTGTGAGTCCTCCGTGCCTAGAAATACTGTGTAATAGCTGCTGAAGGAACAAATGACTTCTCAGAGAACCCCAGGAAGTCAGAGCTGGAAGGAAACTAGTATTTTTTTTAAGTGATGACTTTTCAGGTTATAAAACTTGGAACATTCATACATTGCAAAACGATGAAGCTGTTATGAAGGATGAGAGGGTGTTCTCTACATACGGATGTGGAATAATCGCCAAGATAACCTATCTTGTTAAGTGAAAATAAGGTGCTGAATAGAATGTGTAGCATGCTGCCATTTGTCAAGAAATTATATATATATGTAATCATATATGCTTGTACAGATCTAGAATATTCCTGGAAGGAGACACAGGAAACTCACAGGGACAGTTGCCTCTAAGGGGCACAGTGGCTGGCGGGATAAGTGTAGAATAGAGGGGAGAGACTTTCCACTTTTCCTCATTTGGACATCTTCCATATTAAACTTGTGCATGTTTTTATTATTAAAAAAATCTTTTGAATTAAGTATTTTTTAAAAATATATTTTATTGATTTTTTTACAGAGAGGAAGGGAGAGGGATAGAGAGTTAGAAACATCGATGAGAGAGAAACATCGATCAGCTGCTTCCTGCATACCCCCTACCAGGGATGTGCCCGCAACCAAGGTACATGCCCTTGACCGGTATCGAACCTGGGACCCTTCAGTCCGCAGGCCGACGCTCTATCCACCGAGCCAAACCAGCCAGGGCTGAATTAAGTATTTTTAAAGTTAAAATAAATACATTTTAAAAATATAATAAATGAAATAAAAAATTAGTTCTCTTCCCATTACCCTGGGTTCAGCCACTTGTAACTGCTGGGAACTCCTGGACCAATACCCTGGAACCCCACTCACAACAGAAAGCCCCAATCTTGAAATCTAATGAGGAGAAAAGGGACCTGGGTGTGCATGTCAGTTCCTATGTGGATTTGCTGTTGACTTTGAAGTCACGGGCCTTCTCTGAGCTCAGTTTTCTAATCTGTCAAGTGGATTATTGCAGGGTTCCGAGGGCCAGGGGAGTCATGGTACCAGGAAAATGTGAAGTCTGGACACTGTTGTGATGATGATGGTGGTTCCCCGGGGAACTGCATGGCCTTTCTTTCCCCAGATCTGGGACGAGCGACTGGCCAGGTCTGCTGAGGCCTGGGCCACCCAGTGCATCTGGGCCCATGGGCCCTCACAGCTGATGAGATACGTGGGCCAGAACCTCGCCATCCATTCTGGCCGGTGAGTGACCCTCTGCCCTTCCTTCACTCAGTCATTGAACAAGGTGAACGAGCAGGTTGGTGGCAGAGTGACTTTTCCTCCCCCACCCCTATCCCGCCCTGTGTCTTCCATCTTCTCTGCCTCCCCAGGTACCGCTCGGTGGTCGATCTCGTGAAGTCTTGGTCTGAGGAGAAGCGGCATTACTTGTTTCCAGCCCCAAAGGACTGCAGCCCACACTGCCCCTGGCGCTGCAGTGGCCCTGTGTGCTCCCACTACACCCAGGTACCCCTTTGTTGGAACTAAGGGCTGATGGGAAAACAAATCCTGGTCCCTTAGAAGAAAAAGCATGTGGTGGAACAGAAACTACAAATAAAACAGAGCCCCCTATGGACTTCCTCTTACATAATAAGCATGTTCCTGGAAAGTTGAATTGAGATGAACTGGATCTAATTTTGAGTGTCTTAGGTGTGCTGACCAGATTGTTTGACCCCAAAATGAGGATGTATGGTCTGACAAGATCAAGAGTGCTTTTGAATTCAATAGGTCCAAATATTTTCTAGTATTTTCTGTTTTCTAAGGCTCCCACTATCTTAAAAAGAAAGAGAGAGAGAGAGAAAGAGAGAGAGAGAAGAAAAGAAAAGAAAAGAAAAGAAAAGAAAAGAAAAGAAAAAGAGAAAGAAAGGCCAAAATAAGATCATAAAAATCATGGTATATCTTGAGTATTAATATTGAATATGTTAGCACTTATCACACATAAAAATACAATGCAATATGATATTGCAGGAAATAAAACAGGAACTTCTAATTGCATGTCAAATATCTTCTTTCGGTCCTCTTGGTCTCTCTATGACTCATGTGGAGTTAATATCAAAATTCTAAATTCGAGACCCTCTAGGAAATGTAAGGCCAAAACCAAATGCCCTTCCTGACATACCATGAAATATTATTACCTCCATCTTAGAAACTGAGGCACAGAGTGGTTAAGTGACTTGGTCAAAGGCACTCAGCTAGTGATAGTGAGATTCTGATCCAAGGCTATTTAACTCCAAAGTTTGTATTTTAAACTCCAGCACAACAATTTTCAAACAGTGGTCATTAGGAAAAAAAGAAAAGAAAAAAAAACAAACCCTAATAGAGCAGTACAACTAGAGGCCCGATGCACGAAGATTCATGCAAGAATAGGCCTTCCTTTCCCTGGCTGCCGGCACAGGCTTCCCTCCGGCACCCAGGACCCGGGCCTTCTCTCTGACTGCCACCTTCCACCTTCACTCTGGGCCGGAGCCACCTTCCGCCTTCGCTCCAGCCCTGCCACCCTCCTGTGGCTCTCTCCACCCCCCGCACCCCCCCTCATAGCAGGCGTCCCGCCCCGGCCACTCTACACCTGCTCCCGCGTGCTGCCCAAAGGCCCCGAGCGGCTGGGGTGGGGCGGAATGTCTGCATAGTTGCCATGGCCCAGTTGCTGCCATCTTTGTCGCATCAATTTGCATATTCTCTCCTTATTGGCTGTGGGTGCTGCCATCCTTGTCACGGAGTGACAGTTAATTTGCATATTCCATCTTTATTAGATAGGATATGCTTCCAGTTCCCTCACTTTGGAACAGGCAGACCTCACAATGCACCCACCCTGAAGCAAGTGCAGGAGCCTCCCAGCCCCAAGGAACCTGGGCCCCACTGTATCCTTCTCAGCACCCCTTGTCTGTGTCCTTCCTCAGATGGTGTGGGCATCCTCCAACCGGCTGGGCTGTGCCATCCACACCTGTGGCAGCATCAGCGTCTGGGGCAGCACTTGGCACCAGGCAGTGTACTTGGTCTGCAATTACGCTATTAAGTAAGTGCAGTGTTGGGACAGAGGGGGATCTGGGTCAGGAAGGTGGATCCTGAGGTGGCATGGGCAGAATTCAAAGAAAAGGAACCTGCCTTCCTCCATTCTAAGTAACCTCAATGCCATACATTTGGGTAGGTTTAGAGTCCATTAATAATCCTTTTTCTTTACCCAAGTTTCAGAATTTATTGGAAGATAGAGGACTGAGGCAGGTGGACAGGCAGTGACACTGAAGAAGTCAATAGTGGAGAATGTGGTTTAGATCTGCCAGCCAAGTGGGCTTGCAGATATCTCACTGTTGAATTAGACCTGCACACCCATTGACAGACAATACTGGGCAACCACAGGCCTCTTCCTACAAGGGCAGTGCCAGCCCCTCTAAGTTTACACATGAAATAAAGCAAAGAAAAACACATGCGCCCTGCAGGCAGGCAGGCCCCAAAGGAAAGGAAGGAGAATTCGAATGAGCATGTTCAGCTAATCCGACTCTCCCAGACTCTCTAGTCAGCGTGGTGGGAGAGAAGACACAAGTGGTCTTCATACCATGGAATATGGAGAAAAGGAAATGGAAATTTCTTTCCAATGTATCATATACAAACTTGCAAACATTACAGATTCTTATAGAGATAGAAACAAGAACAAATTCTAAGTAAACACGATATTTGGAATTACAAAATTATATAATAATAACCAACTTTTACTCTCACGTAGCCCTTGATCATTTAAAAAATACTTTCACCTTATTATCTCACTGAAGAGATGAAAGAGAAAGAAGGAAGGAAGGAAAAAGGGAAGGACACTGGGAAAATATTTTCCCTTCTTAGAGGTTAAGAAATTGAGGATCAGAGAGGTTACCAGAAGTCGCAAAGCCAATAAGTAGCAGAGCTATTTGAAACACAAGCCTGTTGATTTCAAGTCCTATGTTGGCTCTATTCTACTATCCTGATGTTCTGGAAGTCATTGGTAGCCTGAACATAAATTCTCTAGCTATTTATTTGCTATTGACAGCATGTCAAATCGTAGCTCAGCTTTATTAGACAAGGAAAAATACAACCAAATTTCAATACATACAGCTTATGAAACTCTTCAGTTTGCTTGCTGATATGTCAAATTTTTGCAGCATTGAGTATTAATAGCGTAGTTGTTAAGATTTTTAGACTCTGGAATTAAGACTGTCAGGGCTCCAATTGTAGTTTAGCTTCTCTATGACTGTTTCTTCATCTGCAAAATGGATGCATATTCTACTTACTAGTATAGGTAAGCTGACCCAGAAACCGCCCCCAGGCTCCTAAGAAACTCAGAATATGTGTTGGTTCTTATTGTCATTACCAGACCTGTGTTTGATTCCCAGCTCTGCCATGTACACAGTGAGGACTTTGGCTAAGGCATTTGATTTCTACAGTCAATTTTTTTAAACAGAGCTAATAGTATCTGACTTTCAGAGAATCATAGTACATTGTTGCCCATAGTACGTGGTAAATAAATGGTGCCCATGATTATGACTAGGTTATAAACTCTCTAAAGGCAGGAAATAGATCTTACTCATTTCTATATCCTTCCATTACAATGATGCCAACCCCCCCCCCCCTTTTTTTTTAAGCAGTAGGACTTTTTTCCAAGTGGTTAAATTTAAAAAAAAGAAAAAGAACTACTCTGATTCCATCACCCTTGGTGTCTCCATCACCCACTCTCCCTGCCCCTAAATTTCCAAGAGACCTTTTGAAAACTGTATACTATAGCATCTGGCACAAATCCTGATGCCCAATAGATGCTCTGGAAGTGTGAATGAATGAATGAAAGTTCCATATGAAACCAGAAGTGCATACTTTTCTAAGTACTTTGGCTGACTTTACTCATAGTCATTCAATAATTACTTTTGGAGAAAAAAAGATTTTATTTCTGCCCAGAGTGTTCATTTGAAGTGTAAGAAAATAAGGCACTGGGATTTGCAAAAATAATTAACACTATAGACCAATAGTGACCTTATTAGTCATCCACAAGCAAGAAAGAGCTGGGGAAATGATTTTAGGCCTTGAGAGGAGAAAGAGAGAGAAAAAAAGAAATCTGTGTGTTGGGATGGAGAAGGGAGTTGTGGGAAGATGAGGTGTGTAAGCTGGACCACGTGCTGCTAGAGCAGTCTAGAATGCCTGACCAAAAGAGGTGATGTGACTCTGTATGCCAGGAGTTTGCCAACTATGGGCTATGACCAAAATCTGGTCTGCTGCCAATTTTTTAAAGATATGTTTTTATTGATTTTAGAGAGAGGAAGGGAGAGGGAGAGAGAGAAAAACATCTATGTGAGAGAGAAACACCAATCAGCTGCCTCCTGCATGCCCCCTACTGTGTATCAAGCCCAACTGGGGCATGTGCCCTGACTATGAATCAAACTGGCTGACCTTATGGTACATGGGAGGATGCTCAACCAACTGAGTGACACTGGCCAGGGCACGCTGCCTGTTTTTGTAAATAAAGTTTTATTGAAACACAGAGAAGGCATTCATTTAAATATTATCTATGACTGCTTTCATGTGGTAGACACATCTGGTCCACAAAGCCTAAACTATTTACTCTCTGCCCTTTCCAAAAAAATTACCAATCACTGCATAGGCAATGGGAAACCACTGACAGTTCTTAAACAGGCAAAGGTGGTGTTCG